CTGTTTACGGGCCTGATTCAGGCCATGCAGGCGCTGCTGGAGTTCACTGCGGTAGTTCTGAGCCGCCTCAATGCTTTCCTTGGCCTCCTGCAGCAACAAGTCCACCTCTACAGACATCCTCCTGCCTCCTGACACACAAGAGAGGAGTTTATACAAAACAGAGAACAACCTGGAGCCAAACTAAAAAAAAACACAACCTTACAGATAAGAGCAAGCTCATTTACAGCAGCAAACTGGAAAACATAGGTTATGTCGACTTTAGAATTTATATTACTGCACGTTTTCTGACGGGCAGAAGAAATGACTAACGTTAAAGAAAAGGGTAAGCAAAGAATTACACATTTATAATCAGTGTAGCAATAAAAATGAAAATAAATAAATATCTGCAGAAACATTTGTTTTAGATGCTTTTACTGAAGTTTGCAAAGAAATTACAGGAACTTATTTCTAAGAAAGATTTTAGTAACAAAGCAGACATGAAAACACTTTGAAGAAACTCAGTTTTGTTATGGTCATCTGACTTTGGATCCAGGGTTGGTTTGTTAGCAGGACTGCTTTAGATACCATGATATACAATTATAAAAACTTCTGTTTTGAGTTTGGGAATGAACAAATGCATTAAAGATACCAGTTACAATATTAACTTGAACATGACAAAGGTTGCCGGTGGTTTTATCAACCCATACAAACTTTTTGGACAATCCTTATTGTGTGAGGAGAAAAGTGGAAAACTAAAAAGATACGCGTGTTGATTTGAAAATAGCTGGCGAGCTGTGTTGTACATGTGCTGTGTGAGTGGTTCTGGTACTTTCGGGTCACAGCGCTGCTTCAACACAGTGAAATCCTCACAAGGGACAAGCAAATTATCAAACATGTTTGATATTGGCGAGACCATGATTGGTGATCGAGAGCTGATTATGAGGTGGTAATCGCTTCTCTTAAACCCTCTGTGTACTACATGATGCAAAACTCGCCTTGACCTCAAAGATTCTCGCACAAGAGGAATATCGGCTCTAAACAATCAGAACATTGCACAGTGTACACCCGGCTTAAATGTAACAGACGTAGGGACTCTTGTTCTTCTTGCAAATTTCATGTTCCCTCTTTTATTTCCAACACAGCTGTGGGGGTCTCTGGTGTAAATGAATGCCTTGTGAGTTGATCTTTGTTAGGGTTATGGCAGAAGGGGTGTCAAAGAGTGGTAAACATAAAACTGAAGCCTCGGGAACGCAAACAGCTTTTTCCTGTTTACTTGAGACATGGTTTTCGGCGAAAGGGCTGGAGCTTTGAATTGTGAATATTAAATAAGCTTACTCCAAAAGCTTTGTCAGGAACTCTGACCCTACCTTTAACAATATTATTAGTTTAGGTTTTTAAATGTTAAAAATTGAAAAACACAAATTGGGCTTCAAATACTGAATGTAGCTTTCAGCTTCAGTTTTTTCTTTTTCTTTTGCCAATTCAACATAGTTTACACTCAACAACAACCACTGTGGCTACTACAAGAGTTTAAAAATACCTTATTTAATGTGTGAAAGACTTATGAAGTCTCAAAGCTTCCGGATCTTCTTTTCCCACAAAAAGAAGACAACCTGCAGAGCGTTTTAACAAATATGTGGCAACAACAAAACCACTTCCTGATTCTGTCAGCCCACTGCAAACCTACAACAAGTCAGTTAAAAACAACTGTTAGAACTGGATCTTTATCTGTGACTCAGAGACCTAAAGCTGCACAAAAATCCCTCAACTGAGCTATAAAACACACAAATCTAGTTAGGAGCTGATTTAGAGTCAGTTTAACTAATTTCTTCCTGTTCCCTTGGTAACTTTAGCAAAGGTCATTCTAATACCATCTGGTGTGTTTGGTTACTTTGGCTGTGTGATAAAACATGGAACAAAGAAACAAACAATCACATCAGCTGTGGGGAGTTTTCCAACTTCAGCTGCAGCTAAATGGCTCAGAAGAATCATTCCAACTTTATTTTGGGTTAATATTTAAAACAAAAAATGTTCAAAAACAGCCTTCATCCAATGTTATTCTAAACTATTTAAGAGCAGGATAGTCACAAGTTAATCACAAAATGTTAATTTAAATTCGTAAATCTCTTTTTTTTTCTCCTTTATTGTTGTTGAATGCTTTGTAATTCCGACCAGACACGGAGACAGAGGTGAAAGAGAAAGGAAGAGAAAAGGTGGAGAGAGAGGAGGAGGGGGGGGGGGGGGGGGGTTCCACAAAAATAAACAATGAACAAGAGTCTGCTTCTAAACCTGCAGAAAAAGACAAAAAAAAAAAAGGACACAAAAAAGGGACACAACAACAATACAACAAGATCTACCTATCACTGCGTCAACTTGATGAAAAAAAAAAACAAAAACTATATATATATATATATATATATATATATATAAAATCAACATTGCTTAACTGAAGAATCACGATAATAAATCACAATGCATTAAGTGCCCCCCATAGTCTTAAGACATGTGTTGAACGTGCCCAAGCCCATACTTTTGAGAGCACCATGTGAGCACCTGTGTGTGTACACGCGCTTGTTTATTTAAGGTTTCTCTATAGGAGCGTCCAACAGAGAGTGTGAGGGACCACAGATCCGCCCCCCAAAGATGCGCAGGAGATGGGGGGAGCTCCAAGTCCCAGAGATCCAGGCGTTGCCCCAGAATGCAGGAACCCCAAGAAGACTGCAACCAGAAAGGCTCCCGCCCCCCTCGAGAGGCACAGAGGATCGCCCCGGGGGGCCACAACCAGCAGCCGGCAGAGTCCCTGGAGATATCAGCGGCAAGCCCACAGGCCCGCCCGCAGCCTCCCACCCCCTAGCCGGCCGAGCCCGCGACCCAGCGACCCGGGACCCAGGGGTGACCACCCCCGCCGAGGACCCAGCAGAGCCCAGGGACCCAGACCCCACCAGGCAGCCACCGGGATCTATCAGGCAGATGCCAAAATCTTAAACCCCCAGACCCGGTTGCCACGAACACTCAGGCAGACCATGGCACAAGCCCCCACACCAGGTGTGGCAGGGGGAGGGGGGACAAAGATCTATATCATCAAGAGAAGTTCCAGGAGAGGGGAGGACCCAAAGGCCCCACCTGACATATACAGTCATACACAAACACAGTCACACACTCCCTCCCTCATGCTCACACATGCACATACAACCCAAGACTTACAAAAATGCATGCCGGACACTCACTCATGCTCCCCATACACACCCTATTAACTCTGGTCCCGGTACTGCTGCACATGGGGTACAACCATCACCGGTAACCAGAGTTTGACCCTTTCTGCTGGGGTGCTGATGAGCAGGCTCCCCCGCCCAACGCTGAGCACAGCAACCCACCACCCCAGACCCCAAGCAGACGGCCAGATCTCCCTCCTAGCCTCCAGCCCCAGGAAGCCTAGCAACAACAGAGGTGGCTAAGACACCTAGTCTCCCTCCACCTGCTCCAATATAGTGTTGTGTGATCATGAGGTGTATTCCATGGCTGTGGTGAGTGGGCAGTGCGGGCATCATCCGGCATATGCCAGCTGATGCCACCGCACCACCCCACTTACACCCTCAGCCATCAGTGTCTAAGTGTGGTTTAAAATTGGAAGTGGGCACCGGCACTCGGGAGGAGGCTGAAATATCCCCCTGCCAAATGCCGTTGAATGTGCTCACTCCCAAGGCCCTAAGTGTGTGTTTGTGTGGAATGTCGTTAGTGGAAGTGTATAAGGTGCAAATAAAATTGGGGGGCAGGTTGCCACAGGAATGCGGAAATGGGGTCCATACCCGCACTCCCTGACTTGCCCACCCCCCAAGGTCCTATGTGTATGTTTGTGTGATGATGTGAGGGAGCAGGAGGAGAGAAATATGCGGGGATGGGGAGGAATGGCTGGTTGGGCTTAGCCCTCCAGGGAGCCAGCTCCCCTACTGGCCCCAATAGGCACCTCTGTTGTCAAACTGCCACCCAGGGCATGGAGACCCCAGCCCATCCTGCCAGGGCCCAAAGCAGCAGCATTACAGAGCCTCACGGAGTCCGAGGGCACCAACCCAGCCCCATCCCAGCAGAATATCTATGCCCACCCCTGCATTTGCACAACTTCCAGAATATATAAGACATGGGACATCCAGGTAAGGTTTGGTCCTCCCCGTCCTGGACCTCCCCCTCCCTTGTGATGGAACGGCAGAGGAGCCAAGGTCTACCTGATGCCCCCGAACCCGGGCCAGGCACTGCTGAGTGTTCCTGCCTTCTTCCCAGCAGCATACATGTCGGGACCCGACCCCCAAGGCCCCGCCCAGATCCCCACACGGGGCCGGCCACCCCCAAACCCCGAGCCCCCAGGCCCCCACCCAGACCCGCCCAGGGGTATTGCAGCCGCCAGGCAGTGACCCATGGCCGCCGCCAAGATCCCCAAGGGGCCCCACTCACAACCGCCAGTAGTCCACCCCCCGAGGCAACCCAAGCACCTCCAGAGGGGGGCAAAAGCCCCCCAGTCACAGACACCCCCAGTGAACCCACCTCCAGGGAACATCCGGATACTCCAAACTCAGACCCCACACCCCTCCACCCACACCATCCCGCAGGACAACATCAATGGCCCCCCACCCTCGCTATGTGATGGAACCGATCAAAGGAGCCCAGAGAGATTCATCTGAAGTGGAAGCAGAGGCTGTATCAAGTGCAATATGATCTAACAAAAGATTTCTATACTGGTTAATGCAGAGACTTTCTCTATTTTTCCAATTCAAGCGGATAGTTTTCTTAGCGATGCATATGGCAGTCAGAACCACGTGAACCAAAGATGTTGCAATCGGGACATCGTGCAGCTGTCCCAGTAAACAAAGAGAGGGGGAAGTTGGGATATGACATTTCAGACATTTTGACAGATCCTCACATACTCTACCCCAAAATTCCTGGACAGGTGGGCAGAACCACAGTGCATGAATGTAATTGTCAGAAATGTTGTTTGTGCAGTGTGTACAGGTGTCAGACGACGCAAACCCCATCTTGAACAACCGATGACTTGTATAGTGTACTCTGTGTAGAATTTTGTACTGAATTAATTGTAAATTGGGGTGTCTGATCATTTTAAAAGTTTTTAAACAAGTTTGGGACCAGAAGTCCTGGTCAA